AACCTTGGTTGGCCTTTCACCACCTCAACAACTGTTTTTTTTCGTATCAGGTTTATTGTGATTAAGGCTTCTAGTTAAAAAAAAAAAACCTTAAGCAATCATTTAGTTTTAGTATTAATTAGACTTATTATGATCATATACCTGCTTTCAGTGAAAAAAGGAAATTATCCGAAAGGTTTTTATTCCATTGATAAAAGGGGACACACACACAATGCTTTACTGTGATTATCTATAATATAAATCGGTTGTTAGTACAACCTAATATGCTGTAAAACACATTGGTTTAAAACCTTCAATTGGCTTGAGACCTGGGAAGGCCTTGAATTACATAAATGTCAAACGCACCAAACCATGTGGCCCATCTTGCCCTACTCGCATCTGCATTTATAATATTTCTCCACTCATTTATTCGGCGTTTTGCTCTGGTGATGCTAATGTCATCCTTGTTCAGTTGGTCTACCACTTTGGTCCAGACTGAAATATCTCACCAACTATTATCAACTATTTATGGAATCAAATGTCCATGTTGATAGAATTGTTACGGCCGCCGCCTCCCCGGTCCTGTTAAAGGGCCCATGTCATGCTTTTCCGGTTATTACCCGTCCCCTTGTGTGTTATGAAGGTTTTTATGCATGTAAACGGTCTGCAGAGTCAAAAACCCTCAAAGTACACAGAAAATACCTGTCTATGCTGCCCCAAAACGCCTCGTTGGAGATTTCTCATTTTCCATTGTTTACTTCCTGGGTTTAATCGTTTATTTGGCAGGGACAATGCACAGTAATGAACACTTAAAACATTCAAATGTGTCAAGCGTAACAGTGTCAGATTTAGCTTTGAGCTAATTTCCATCCGCAGTTCCTCACATAAAACATTTAAGAAAATTACATTTTACAAACATAGCAAAAACAAAATACATGATATGCAAAAAGTGCAAAAGAGCAAGAGCAGCATGCACAAGTATTTACAGTACAATATAGCAGCTACATCATATAAAGTGCAAGACAATATAAAAGTGCTACATAAAGTGCAAGAGGAGATACCCCTGTATTAAAGTGCATTTAGCGGTGATTGCACGTCTGTTTGTTTCTCAACCATTCTTTTAGTTGACCTTTAAAGCTATTGAGAGTGGGACAATCCCGTATCTCAGTTGGGAGGCTATTCCAGAATGAGCTGCCTTTAACGGAGAGGACATTTTGTCCAAAAGTGGTCCGTCTATGGTGAACTTCACAGTCTCCTCTGGTTTCTGACCTAGTGCAGCGTCCAGTGTGTTTTTTGTGGATGAATTGCCCAAAGGGAGGGGGGGGGCAGTCCATGCGAACATTTATAAAAAAACACATACTTTTATTAAAAGATTTTAAATTGTCAAAACTCAAGAAATTGTGACGTGACACCCGGAGGCCACACCCTCTGCCAGCAGAATATATATACCGCACTGTTGGAAGCTCAGGTTCAGTTCAAAACTGTATCCAGTCATGCCAACGAGGTATGTGTCCTGTATTGTGAGGGGAAATCTTCAATGCATGCCTT